GATGGATTAATGCGTGTATCTCTTCATCTCACTGTAATCATCTCATCTCACATTACCAACAAAGGACCACCTAAATTCAGACATAGTTAGCTGGATAAAAACCACAAACTGCTATGAGCTCTGAGTGTAAAATCACTGTCTCCTCATTATGGAGACAAGCAATGATGCATCCAGAATTCTTCATCTTTACCTGTTTTTCCTCTTCTACTGTTTTCTTCTTGTTCCTCAATCTTTTATTTTTTAGTACCTGTAATTTGTTTATGTATTACTTGCACACCTTTCCACACCTTCTTTCTTTCTATATTATCTTTTGTTACTTTTTTCCCTTTATTGATTTCCTCATATTTATCCCCTGACAGTTCAAAACAAATAAGCAGCAGAACCATTAACACATACGGTAAGAAAGGTTGTAAATCGTAAGCCACTCTTTTTTTTTTTTTATAATTGAAGTCTTTATTTGTTTTTAACATTTCACAACACGAAAACAAACAAAACAACCAACAAACAACAACAGAAAAAGACAACAAAATTTTTTTTTTTTTTAAATATAATAATAATAAAAAAATAAAAATAAAAAAGGACAGTTAACTCAAATCTTTAAGTCATTCCCTTACTGAGTGCCTACACAAACAAACAGTGCAGCAAGCGTACAACATGACTAAAGATAAAATCGTAAGCCACTCTTAAGATTGTAATATTTGGCTTTGGTCGCTCTTACAGCAAGTATCTGAAGTAAAACCGCATTTTGCCTATATCAAACAACCATATAATTTGTTTGGGGGGCGAATAACATGTGTTGTAACTGTTGTGTCAGCTCTCTATGTGACTGATCCCATCCCCCAAGTGCTTGCTGTATGTATCTTATGTGGGTGTGGTCTGCCCTCTGGTGGCCATATGGGGAACTATCTCAGAGTAAAAAAAATCAATATCCCAACATTCCATTGGAAATCCACGTGCTGTCATATATAGTAATGCGCTGTAATGTGCAGCTCATCTTATCCATGTTGTTCTGTTCACTAAAAAGAAGAATATGCAATTAAATCAACCATAAACACAATGAAGATTCAATATTTCACTGTCACCATTACAGCCACTTGCTTATTGTATCAAAAATCTGGTTAACATACAGGACCTTACAAAAGCCTTGAGCCATTTTGATTCCAAAATATTCCAAGCCACTTATCACTGCCATGAATCAGTGGGATGAACTGCGTTGTGTTCATCAGTGGCAACAGGTTTTATGGACTAATTAATCCAAATTTTATATTTTTGGTTCAAATCATTGTCATTATATATTAAGGATGTCAGGAGAGAGGTCTGCAACCATCTCTAAAACATGGTGGAGGCTCTGTCATCATTTGGTGCTGCATTTCAGCCAGTGGTGTTGGAGATCTTTTTTTTTTTTTTTGGATTTATGAACACAGAAAAGTCCAGTGAGATTTTAATCTGCGATGCAACCCATCTGGCAAGTGTCTGGTTGGTAACGGCTTCATTTTTCAGCATGACAATGATCCAAAACACACTGCCAATGCCATAAAAGCACAACTGGATAGACAAGCACACAATATAACACTACCAACCATGAATTGGCCTCCCCAGAGCTCAACATTATTGAAGCAGTGTGGGATCATCTTGACAAGAAACATAACAGATGACACCCAAAATCCAAAGAAGAACTTTGAATGTCCTTCAAGAAGCCTGGATAACTATTCCTGGAGATTTATTAAAGAAATTAAAAAAAAGTTCAGGCTGACTTTCAAGCTTGTTAGAATACAAACTCTGTTTCCCACTTATACACTATATTTCCATTTACACGTGTTTAAATAAATCACTGCACACATTTCCTATTTTCCCATCAAAATATAAAGAAATAAGGGATGGCTCGGGGCCTCTGCACACTGCTGTTTGTTGGTATATAGACTCATCTCACTGCCGATCAGCCCCAAAGCAGTAGCAGACCCCTTTGTTGTGTTTTGAGATAACTTTAATAGATTTAGACTCATTCTGAATAGAGTATTGGATGGCAACTAGCCAACATCCTAGTTGGTTTTGTCTGTATCGAGCTGATCGATTACTTGTGTGTAGTCAGCACCTTTGATGTGGTTTCATTGTATTTTTATTCACGTCCAGAGTAAATTTATATGTTTGCCTTGTAATCCTCATTGATCATGAAAGCCTTGTAACTTCCATTTCAAAGAACATACTAGTGATTGAAGCTTCTTTATGAGCTATGGCTTTGTTTTGTTTCCTTGATGACACATACAGAATTCTTGTTAAATCATTAAATATGTGAGATGAAAATCTATGTTTAAAAAAAAACTCATTCTGTTTGATGTTGCATAAAGTTTTATATTTAAAAGAAAGTCTGGATGTTGTCCCACCATCTACAGAAAAAGCAAAATCATGTAAATGGATTTGCTGCAAGATAGCTGATTAAAGTAAATGTACATCCCCCTTTGTCTCTTTCTCTCCTAATTGATTGCCTGGCTTTTGAGACAAGAAGAAAATAAATATCTTTAAGCCAAGATACTTTAGTTGCACAGAAAACTAAAACGGTTTCCCCCTGCCAACGCCAATACACTATACTGCAGTTTTAAAGAGGCAATGTGGGCCAACACTAAAATTTAGTGAGATCTTCCTTTGCACATGCTCCACTACTGCTCAATGAAGTTTCATGACATTTACTTTTTGTGTAATGTTGATGACAAACAGAAAGACTGAAAGCATACCTTCACTGACAGCATCCACAATAGTTCGTGGCGAGACAACATCCCTAAACCTTCAGACCGTGTCATTTTTACTTGTGTTAGATTGTTCTTCCAAGTGCCCTGCAGCAGATCAGCAACCTGACCAAGATGTGCTCTGCTTTTTTCCCTAGGACACCAGTGGTTGCATGCTGGAGCAGCAGGTTGAGTGTCGTGGGTGACAACAGAATATACCAGTAGCGTTGTAGGGATGGAGCTGGACTCAAGGTGGTTGTTGTCCAAGATAGAGACAATACTGGACAATAAACTCTCATCGAGTCCATGATTTGTTGGTCAGTCACAGGAGCGCGTTGCCCAAATGCACCACTGAATGACACAGGAAGTCATTTCTTCCTATGGCCATCACTATGTATAACTCCTCCATCTACACAAGTACACACTGCAATAGTTGCACGCACTTAAAATCACATCGTCTACAAAGAAAAGTTCCAATTAATATAACGAAGGGGGCAATCACCTGTGATGATTCAGGCCCAGATGGTTACAACTGCAAAAGATTTAACTTTATGTAGAGGAAGGTCTGTATTTTTCCACCATAATTCAGTTAAAACATATGCAGACGCTGTAACTGTTGCACTGTTAAAGTCATTAAAACAATACCACACATCGGCCGTTAGTGGGCGCAATACGCTTGACTACTCGTTTTCATAAAGCTAGTTATATAGAGCACCACCACATATACCTCACAATATTTCATTAATTATTAACTAACAGCAAATATGACAGCATCAGATGTTGTAGAAACACATCAAAAATCACTGTCTCTTCTGCTAATAACCAAATGTCAATGTAACCATAGTCCTAACTTGATTGTGGGCACCCATCAGATGTAGTTCTGACTACAGTTGATAAACATTTACTCACTAAATCTACTACAGCGTAACTATCCCTGCATGCAGTCACATAGGGAGCATTGCAGAGTCTGTGCTGCAGGATCGCAGTGAAACCTGGGTTTGGGCTCTGTTTGTAAGCAGTCAACACATTCCTGAAGAGAGTAAACCAGCAGCACTTTGAGCTACTGAGAGGGTAGCAGCCTGCAGCTGTTGTGCACAGCCAGCTTCAGGGGCCCAGGAATGCTGTCAAGCAGGATTGTGGTCATGGATGCTAATTAACCCAGCTGAAAATGAATATTCCCGATCAGCTGGTTCTTACGCTGTGAGGTTTTTTGTTCAGGTTGAATGGCTCAGGATGCCTATACCTCACAAAGGAAGGGGTGTGAGATTATCACGTTCCAGGGGCAATTAGAGATGTTTACCTGGTGCACTTTGAAGCTCTCTGCTGACAGAAGAATAGCTTCCTCTTGGCCACCCAAGTTGGGTGGCAGGTTTTATTACAAATCCTGTGTAACCTGGATAAAAAGATGGTTTTGTGGTCTGTAAAAGATCACAAAAATAAGACTTAAAGGTATCATAGGCCATATTTAACTCCATATTATGAGGACAATGTAAAAATGCAAGTAAATCTTCACCTGTTATGTATCTGAAAAGTTGAGCAGGCTACAGCAGATGGTTAAATATAAAGATGTGTGGCTGTTTTCTTCACACTATGGTGTTTTTATGTGTTTGAGTTCCCAGTGGCTCACACTTCACCTTCACTTACAGAGGTAATGATTGCAAACTGAACTGGGGGGGGGGTATATTAAAAGATATTTGTTCCACACCACAGGGTTTGTGGGCTTACACCACCTTGTTTGGATCAATGAATTCAATCATTTAGCTACAGACCTTTTTAAAAAATGTTTAGAAAATCGCGTCCTCTGGTGTCTCGGAGGTCCAGCGTGCTCAGTGCTGCCTTCACAGATTCTGGAAATGTACGAACTAACCGGAAAGACCACTTTTTTTTACCCTGAATATATTAGGTTATAAATTGGAAAAGGCGGGGTTAGAGGAAGTCTGCTTACTTTTTACATTTATATTTTTAAATGCTTACATTTAAAAATATATATATATTGATTTCATTATTTTTTTCTTCATATGCATCAAAAGACGACTAAACACGGCTGATTTAATATGATATTTTTATTAACAGGACATAATACATATCAAGTTGTTATTATTATAAATATTTGTGTGTGTGTTTTGTTTGTTTGTTTCGCGATAGCATACATTTTTAAACCTTAATCCATTATCAGTAGTAGCTGTTATTTACTCAGCCTTTACTGACTACAACAAGGATACAAATAGATCCCGACTGAGGGAGTTGGGGATTTCGTGCGGTACGTGAATGCATCCCAGAATCCCGTTTTTTTTAAAGAGGGCTGATGTCATTTTCAAAACTTAACTCACACTCCTCAAGTCAACGCGGCGAGTCGCACACCTCCTGCTCTGTCGTGAAGTCCTCCCTCATGTCTGTCGGAGCGCACTGAGAAAAGAAAAAAGAAGTCGGGGAGGTGAAAGAAACACGAAGTTCTGTGGAAGAAGCGAACAGGGAGAATTTTTTAGAGCAGAAAGCCCGGGACCAGAGCCCCTCTCTCTGTGGGCAAAGGCGGCTGAACTTTTTTTTTCTCTTTTTTTTTCCTTCAAACGGGAAAAAAAATGAATCGGAGCTTTAATAAGTCGCAACCTCTGCGAAATCCTAACTGCAACGCTGTGGAAGTGAAAAGCAAGGTGAGTGGAAACTTGAAAGCCCTGCTTGGTGGTGGTGTGGGTGGATAGGATTTTGGGGGGATTAAAATAATATTAATCATGATAAATGTTCACATGGCTGTCCCGTCACGGAGCCGGAGCTGGTCGGACGGTGTGCAGCCTACGCCACATAACTATTTCCGCTTTTCCCCCCGTGAGTTGTGCGGGGAAAGTTGCAGATTCTGGATGTTTCTCTCATTCGCAGTGATTGTTTGCTTCTTGCTTCCGATCCAGATTGTGCTGATTTGACTCTTTCTTTCCCGATGCTGCTGTGGGTGGTTGATGGAGGGGGGCTGGGTAGGTGGGTAATGGGGTTGTTTTTGAAGCACCTAGCTCTCCAGATTTCCTACAGCAACAAAGTTTCCACCTGTTAAAGTCAGACGTTGCATTAGTTGCACTGAGTTTTTGTGTTCTTGCTACACAGTATCAGCCTAGCTCTTTGTTTTGGATCATTTTTTTTTTAAACGCTGACAGACTAATGGACACACAAACATCAAGTGGATTGCCAAGATTTCAAGTGTTATGTCTCAATGGAGTGCCCTGATTTATGAAGCTTTTCATCTCAACACGTACACAATACATCCACATGAGCTATGCGGCTCTTATTTTAGTTTATACTGCAGAGGAAGAGTTTTATTTTTGTTTTGTTTTTTCGATACACAAGTGACTGTTTGTGTGGGCTCTGTGAAGAACTACCAGCTGACACTCATCACTTGTGAACCCCACAATGATTGCTGGTGACCTGCATTCTAATCCAGTGTTTCTGATTTATTTGTGAGATAATGCAGTATTCGCATGTGTTCACACCTGAGGGTTAGATTGAGAGATGGGCAAGTGGTGCAGAAGGTGACTCATTCACTCCTGAGTCGTTTCCACCTTTTGGCCGCCCAGTTTCAGTGGGGTGGTGGACAGATGGAGCACAGATGCTCTGATGGTGACAGGTGGGTGCGCATGTACTCACACAAAAACGGCCAAAAAGGCGAGTAGTGTTTGTGTGTGTAGGTGGGTTTTTTGTTCTTTTGCCATTTCTTTTGCTGCAGGGTTTGTTCCACAGAGACAGGAGTGGTCACTCCGTGGCTGCCGCAGATTGTTTGTGGGTGGGACTGGCACGCCAGGAGCTCTGTGGCTAGAACAGACAGGTCCACCGGCGTCACCACGGCACACCGTCATGCCACCACGTCACACGTTTCCACTTTTGGATCAGATGTGACTCATCCCTCTCCGTCACGTCACTTTAAGTGGTTTCACATTTTGTTCTACTTCGTCAGGTTTTGTTTTGTTTTGATCCGTTTGGGGTGTGTTGGGAGCTCTAACCCCCGTCCCTCATGTTCCCTCATCTCCCTCAGTGAAGAAATCAAGCGTGTTAATGAAACAAAAGCTGATTATTTGGAGAGAAATAGCACACTGACAGTTGAGGACATTTGAATACCTGTAAAGGGAAATCTTATCTGTTACATAGCTCTGCCACAGTCGGGGCCTCTGAAGGCACAGAGGAGCAGGATCAGCTACACGTAATTCAGTTCATCATTTAGTAGTAAATAATATGATATCCTCACAATACTAAGGGCACATTACAATATTATTACAGTTTTAAAGTTTTGCAGTAATATGTAATGCAATCTATCACCATTTTCAAACTGCAGATTATGTCCTCAAAGTTAAACTTTGTCAGTGTTTGTTTTATCCAATAAGATAAAGTTATCGTAAATGCAGCCCATTTACCATTTTATCTTGTTTTTGTTTTTTTTCCTGTAAAATGAGATTTTCAAGACTGCCAACACTGGCACTAAAAGCGTGCTGTAAATGTAACCTAATAATTTACTTTAATGAGTCAAAATTGTTACATTTTTAAGAAATACACAGAAATAAACAAGACCCATCGATGAGGTTTGGGACTCATAAATTGTGTAACACTCATCAAGACTTAACTTCTTATGTAAACGCGAACAAAACAAAAAAATACACAATAAAATGTATACGGACTTCCTACCTTCTCATTAGATACAGATGTTTCCATAACAACAACTATGGTTCATAGTAGTATCCAAAGCCAAACGGCTTATTTACCGACTCAAATCATCCTCGTATTCACTTTTGTTTTGTTTTTATATAGTTGTGCAAACTTGTGCCGTGACAAACAGGTTTTCATTTCCTCTGCATAGTTAATGTAAAGTTGTAACAGTTACTGTTGGTTCCTACAGCCGCTTTATTAATTAAACATGGAGTTCTCTCTCAGTACGTGGTTTTTGTGTGACTTGAAACAAACTCTGATAGGAGAAAGATGCCGCTTCGATTGCAGAAGAAGACGCTTCTTTGGTTGCAACCGAGGGACACAAAATCTCCCAAGTCAAACGCGTGCAACTGGTCGCTGCGGTGACCTTTTTGTGAATAAGGAAGCCCCCAAAAGTATCTTTTGAGTGTCTTTGGGTGCAGTTGAACATTTGAGCATTCATTTTTGTTATGCGATTACTTTCTTTAAACCAAAAAAAGTCTAAATAATTCATTTGTTAAGCAGATGCAAACATGGCCTTTAGGTGCACTCCCTTTTTAATAATCGTATGCCAAATAAGGCTCTAGAGAGAAAAATGTCTGTTATGAAGATGCTGCAGAAATGCTGAGGTACATTCAGATTTCCAGAAGTGTCAAGAGTGTTACATATGTGATTGATTGCTGTTGTGTGACTGGTTCTTACTGGTTCATGTTTGTTTTTTTGTTTTGTTTTGTTTTGTTTTTTCCCTTTGAGAGGAATCTGTTTCTGTGATAAGCTTATCAGGGCTAACACTGGAGGTGTCTGGCTGCCTGTCACTGAGGCCTCAGCCAGGAGCTGCTGGTTTCGCTCACATCAAGCTCTTATCAGAGTGTTTTAGGAGATGTAGGGGGTTGAGTGGAGTGGGGTCCTGTGGTTCTCCTTTATTAAATACTTAGTCATCTTTTAAAATCCTGGGAGCCTGTAGGCAGTTTCTGAGGTGAGTTTCCCCGACTTACCGAATATTAGGTAAGAAAAGAGCCAGCGTTGGCCAGAGACAAGAAGTCGGTTATCTTCCATTTTCTTCAGTGTGTCAGTTAAAAGGCTCCAGACATGTTTCAGCCTGTCGGACGTCACTCTGCAGCAGTAGGCCAGCGGAGCAAGTGATGTCATGTTTGTAGTGGTGTGCTCTAAGAGTCGAGGTTTAGCACTGAGGCCCGTGATTAATCGCGCCATGTTCAGACTTGCTCATACCTGAGGGCCGGTTCTGCTGGTTCAAACAGATTTCTTTTTTCAGACTGATCACGTGCTGCACTAAGAGAGCTGTCGCGTTCAGAGGATAGTGATACGCACAAGTATAATTATGATGTGGAGCGTAGCGTATGATGTCTTTCAGAGTTGATTACAGTATATGCGCGCCTCGGATTCACTTTCCTCGACGCTAACAGCACCTACTTCACTCTGACGAACCTGCTTGTCTGCTTGTTGTGTCATTGTAATACGGGCTGAGGTTTATGAGCTGAAGGTGGGTGGCAGGTTTTCAAAATGCAGCCTCACACATTTGCCTTTCCCGCTGCTTTGAGTCAGCCTGGCAACAAATTACACCCGGTATCCCCCTAAGTCTCCTCACACACCGCCGCTTAAATTTATGTGTCATCTTCTAATTACAGAGCTGGTTAATGTATCCCCCCCAGCTCCTCTTCTTCTTTCCAGTCAGTATGCTGCTGCTCTCCTATGTCAGCAGTTTTCCTCTTCTCCCTCCTCCTCCTGCTCCCTGATCATCTCCCCACTCTTCTCCTCTGCTGTCAGCTTCCCTCAGCTGTGAGCTGATGATTACAGTAACAAACAGCGCCTTAGTCTACAAATTACTACTCTGATTCAGACCCCGGTGCTGCCACTGCTGCTGTCTGTTGTTGTAGATTATTGTGCCGTGCTTCAGCGCCTCAGTCGCGCCTTTGTGTGCTTGTCTCAGTCACATGATGACCTTGTCGTGACCCTCAGGCACGCTCTCGTTGGCGATACAGTGGCCTACCCAGGAAAAGCTAAAGCCCAGTTGTTCAAGTCTGTGCTTTTGTGTATAAATAGTGGGTGGGAGGAGTGGCTGCCTGCTACTGTCATGCATAGCTACCTGAATTCTGCTATTTTATAGGGACCTGCTTTCCATTTCCTGGTGTTTTCAGGCAGTGCGCGGCTGAAATTTGTTTTCTCGGTGATACAATCTTGATGTGCAGAGTAGCACGTAAAGCTACAGCGTTTCCCCCAGGAAATTATTTAGCTGAGATGGAGAACCACCCAGACCCCGATGCATCTTATCCGGTTATAATTTTAGCCAGTGTAGGAAGATCCCAACAGCAGGCATAGATGTAAAGGGACTGGGTTTTAGGGAATGTGCTCATTCAGCTTCTTGCAGATAAGTAAACTAGAAGACTGGTGTGCTCAGTATATGAAGGCCATCTAGTAAATGTCAGCCTGGCTTTGTATAAAGACTGAGATGATGTCTCAGAATTGTGAACATCAACACGCGTGAAGTGAGGGGCTGCAAATGTACTTGTGGGTCCTTCCATGTTGGTGCTTCAGATGCTTCACAGCTGACCATCTCAGATGTGGCTGAAAATATTCTGGGGAAAGGAAAGACCTCTTATAGCAATTGTGCAAACTTTCATGACCCTAATGTTGTTAGTTTCTTCTCTTTCTTTTTTTTTTCCCTCCAAGTATTTTGATGGAGGAAGTTGAGGTGGGTTTACTTTTGTCTTGTTTTCAAATCTGAAAAGCTACTTGAGCTAGGTCCTGCAAATGTTTTAGGGTAAGTATCTAGACCTCTGTGAATGTTGACTCTCTGGAGTGTAGTTTAGTTTTATATACAAGGCATAGAATAGTCATTAAAACGGTACAAATAAGGTGAATGGGATGGATTTTTTTTTTTTTTTTTATATACCAATGCTGCTGTTTGGTGATTTATTTTAATCAAATTCATTTCATCCAAATTCAGTGTGAAGTCTGGTGCTGACTTTTCTCCTTTTTTCCTAGTTTGTTTCGGAAATTATGCATAATTCCTTCTGAGGAGTGCATCTTTCCCCTGGAACTTTCTCTTAGTGATACAAATTGGTTCTTCTCTTCCAATCCACTATGTATGCAAGATGGGGACCACTGAGACTTAGAAGTTTGCAGCTTTTGTATTTATTTTTCTGTTGGCTACATCATCTGAGTCCTTTGAGATTATCTGGAGTCTTCATGTTGTAATGCGCTCAAAGTACTGCAAATTTAGAGACACAGAATGAATATTGCTTTATTCAGAGGTCTTAGGAGTGATTCCTAGGGCATTATCCTTGAAGTGTAGTTGTTTAAGCCTAAAGAGTGAAATCGATTACAAAAGGCAACACAAATGACAACAGTTTAAAAGCATCTGCACCAATGAAAAAAGTTACAATAAACCCATCAACATTGGATCTTTGAAGAAAACAGTTGTTAAGTTTTGATATTCTTTCAAAGAGTAATTCACCGACCAATGAAGCATCACTGTGAGGGTTCAATCCATAACAAAATATCATTGGGCAAGCTACCGAACCCCAACACATGCAGCGGAGTGTCAATGTGTGTTAATTCAATTTGGTGTTATTTATACATTCCCTCAAGGCACTTATGTATGTTAGAAAGCACTTGGGTAGAAAAAGCATAGAAAAGACAGGAACCAGTTAATCTACTATTTACAAGACAGGCCTCTGATATTAAAAGGATAAATCAAAGTTACACAGCTGCCTGCTATGGTGACCCCTGGTTAATAAGAGAGAAGCTGAAAGTCACCTTATTCTCATGATTAAGAAGTTTTAAGTATCTGAGTTATTAATCACTGGATTGTTTATGCATTCTGGGAAATGCACTCATTCATTTCTTTGCCAGAAGCTTGATAACAAAACTTTGAGATTTGTCAGTTTCATATAAAGCTGCAGACACCATAGCTTAGCATAAAACCCGGAGAAAAGGGGAACAGGGAGAGCTTTATTAGCTTTTTGTACACGTTATATAAACAAGACTCGGGCTGAGATTTACAGGTGACTGTAGAGGGATTTTCACACCTTCAGATTGCTGATGTAAGCAGTTTTAGTTGTAGCTTTAGCACAGAGATATCAGTCGTCAGCTAACTCCTACTGAAAGTATTTTTGTTCTATATTTCCTGAAGGTTTCATGTTGTGTAATCCAGTTGTTTGGAAAGTTACGCTCCTCTTGCGGTATTTTTAAAGTTGCAGAGAATCACAGCTGTTCAGTTTGTTTACTGCTTCAGGAAAAAAAACCCTTCCTTTCTTGGTGCTTTATGTTACTTAAGGTCACAACCACATGCTCGGTGAACTTCCACCCTGTGACTTTTATGTGGAACAGTCAGAATCCCAGTTTCCTCATCCTGTTTGGTTGTCCCTCTCACAGCTCCTCTTTTGATTATTCCTTTTTTTTTTTTTCCCCTCTTCTCAGTATGGGGCAGAGTTTCGCCGGTTCTCGGTGGATCGGGTCAAGCCCGGCAAGTTTGAGGAGTTCTACAAACTCATCCTGCATATCCACCGCATCGCCAACATGGAAGTGATGATTGGTTACGCCGATGTTCACGGCGACCTGCTCCCGATCAACAACGACGACAACTTCGTCAAGGCGGTGTCAACCGCTCACCCGCTCCTCAGGATCTTCATACAGAGACAAGGTAAGCTGATCTACACTGTGTGATTTCCTTTGCCTCTTTATCCCCCGCAGATTACGTCTTTAATACTAGTTTAAATATTTCTTTTCAAATGTCTTCCAACTGGTAAACCTACCAAACTATCAACTGTTGCATTAACTGTGTCTTGGGCTGCAATTATGGTGCTGACTAGAATCAAGTTTCCCCCCCTGAATATTTCCTGGTCCAATTATGAGGGCTTTTTGTTTACTTCATGCCAGGCCTTCTGTGTGTGTCTGTATATGTGCTTTTGTGTTTCCGGCTCTCTTATTGGCTGGATAAGTTTCAGTCTGCCTCTGTCTGCCTTGGTAAGTCCTGTGCCTGATCCAGAGGAAGCCCTCGCAGGCATATGAAAACACACTCGCGCGCACACGAAAAATACACACACGCACACAGACCAGTGTCTCGGCAGTCCCATAGAAATCAGGTCATTGAGCAAAGGCCTGTATCCCGGCATACCAGACATTACTGAGAGACAAAAGATCTGCATGAAAAGAGAGACTCCTTACCGGGCTCTCTCAGTTTGTGTGTGTGCATGTGCTGGTGTATTTGTTCAAACACAACACCACGGCACTCTGAATGGGAACCAACTCCTAGTCTCTCTCGCGCACTCTCTCACTGATCCCAACTCTGGAGAGGGTCTCGACTGCTGCCAGCCAGTCATCGAGCATACAAATGAATCTATTACCATTCACGTCTATTCATACCCACAATCCTCCTTGGAATGTCCCTCGCTCGGTTGTGTAATGAACGGGTTCACTCCAGGGTTTTGTTTTAATTGTCAACCAATGGTTCAAAAAACAAAGATATCCACAGATTTCCAGCAAGAAACCAGGTTGAGATATTTGAGAGGCCCAATCGGAGTGCGAGTCACCGCCTCGAGAGATTAAATGGCCAGACCAAAACCAACTAACTGTAAGTTGGCTCATAAGTCATCCTGCAGTAATGTTTGACTTAAAAATAAAGGCTGATTCGACCAGTCAGGTCACGTAAGTGTAACACCTGAAAGCCATAACTTGTGTCCTTGTGGTTTAGCTGACACGTCGTGCATTACTTCTCACTGTCCTGCTGCTTATCTCAGTGTCTATATTCCTCTGGTGATGCATTTGATTCTCATGAATATTCCCCCTTGCTGGCTTCTTCCAGAGCATTTAATACAAAGGGGAAATTCCCTCAAACACCAGAAGGACAGAGGAGTCTTTGCTGATAGAGATTTGGCTGCTCTTATTGTGGGAGGGGGCGTATTTAGTGCTATTGTGGTGGTGAACTGCTGATGTGGTTTAGAGGAATTTGCATTGTTGTGACTGATGTTGAAACAGTCAGAGCATCCTTATGGCTCATTTATGCTCGCTGCAGTGGTTGCTTTGGACACCAGTGATGACGCTTCATCCATTTATACTTGCTTTTAAGCCGCTTTTGTCTCAAAGTTGCAGAAATCTCCCTCCATGGGGAATCTGGGAGTGCCTGTGTAATAGAAATACCTGCACAGGTGGACATGCTGACAGTCTTGTCTTAAGCTCATCTGTTGGAAAAATTAAGAGATGCACAACTGGGCGAAAAAACGGCAAAGAGCAACTCGTGCCAACGGGTATGATGTCACTTTTGTCATCCGTTGCCGTTCACACGCAGGAGAATGGAAAGTGTAAATGGGCCCCGTCGCTGGGATTCTCTTGGCGATGTGGATGTCATGACCATGTAGTTCTACTTTCCAAACTGCCTGGAGTCTCCTATGAAGAAGTGCATTTGTGCTCATACCAGACTAGAACATACCTCTACCTTTGCACAGAGCCTTCCCCGCATTCAGTGTCTGATGTTGAAATTTACATCACTCGACTTTTCACAAATGAAATTGTAACACTGGTCTTTGTATAGTCTATTGTTAAGTGCTGGACAAAGAGTTGTGTGTTTATGATAGTGTGAGTACCTTGTGGCTGAGAGAAGATGCCCCTGTGACCAGTGTAGTGGCATGGGAAAGTGTGTGTGGACTGTATCAGTCAGTACCAGCCTGTTAGTGCGGGTCATCAGTGGTGTCGCCACATTACTTCTCTGTCTGCTCAGATGAAAGGAAAGGCTTCACACACTCATTAAAACAGTGTGACTCACCATCCAGTCACAGCAGGGGGATTGTGTTTAACCTCAACCAGCCGTGGACATGAAAATAAAATCTTAATTATAGAATTTAAAAAGTTACAGCACTGGATGGCATGTGTAGCTGTTTCATAGATGCAGTTTATAATGAAAACCTTTGAAAGCTTTAGGGAGGGGAAAAACATTAAATGGTGCCCTGACATACCAATGTTGTTTTGGTCTAAAGGGTTTATGATTAATAACTCTATCTTTGTACTTCATTGCTCAGACAGACCCTCCCTTCCAACACTTGACTGGTCATCTGTCTGTGCTTGTGTATGGGCATGTACCTTTTCAGTGTTGCCCCATTTAACAGTGGGTATTTTGAATGTGCCCATGTCTCTTTCATCTACCTGATACTCCCCTGCCAGGCTTACATTTCCATTGTTGGTAAAACTGTTTCAGCACGTGCCACAGTTTTGTGGTGATGCTGATGGTACCAGTTACCGCCCATAGGTGCTGATGGCAGCTTTTTTTTTTTTCTTTTTTTTTTTTTAAAGTGGTAAAACTTCACCTGCAGAGTACAGGGTTACACTTTGTGGTTTTTGTCCAAGTAGCCTCTCATTACAGGGTGCTTGTATTTAATCATAGCAAAGAGAAGATAATTGTTAACATTGTGGAGTGAACTGAGATCTCTTTGATGTCCGTTTTTGAGTTTACAGAAGGTGATTTTGATTGCTGTCGTTGTCGGGCAGGGTAGACTCTTAAATACTTGCCATGCGCAAAGAATAGAGGCAAACAAATGATGGGGGGAGAATAGGACACATGAGAAGATAAGAGTTGGAGGAGTTCTGTATGTGGAGTTGTTCTGCTTCTCTCCAGTGTGTGAGCAGTTTGTGTTGCCAACTAATGACTCTAAATTGGGATCTCATTTTGGGGGCAATGCGTACAGTGACCCTCTTGTTTTCTCAGCTTTTGCTTTCCAGTTTAATACGTCAGTAACTCCTACAGTGTTCCAGCACGTCTGATGTATTGTCAGATGTTTATGGTGCGCTTATCTAGGGAAACTGCAGAAGTACTAGCTGCCCATTCATATTCTGTCTCAAAACAATGCAAATTAAGATATAGATAAGCCTAAGAGGGGAACACTCCTTACACTGATGTCAGCATTTCATCAGCTTCTATTTATTTATTTTTCTTCTATTAAAGTGGATCTATTCATATGCTTTTCACTATTCTTTTACATCAGTTGTATGGTTACAATATAGCAAAAGTTTCAAATAATCTTGGCATATAGTTCCCAAGCTCAGGCTTCAGACTGCTCCAAATGCAAAAGAAAGGAGATCGTCCTGCTATGATCATCTCAGCACACAGCTCTGTCTTCCTTCAGTGTTCCATTTGTGGTCAGCCAAACTCGTTTTACATTGTGGGCCACATACAGCCCACTTTATTCTTAAGTGAGCCAGTGAAACCTCCCTGTTCTGTCACTGTTTAGAAGTTTAACTGCACATTTAATCCCAGACACATCTTGTATAAGAAAAAGAACTGCTTTTACAACAGTGTGTTGTAACCATCTGTTGCTGGTAGTACATGAAAGAAATCTAGAAGCACAACTCTTTGCACAGATTGGGCAATTTTTGTTAATTAGCAGAAAATGACCTTTTATGTTTTTAAGAAATCTTTAGTAGATGGTGGGGGGGGGGGGGATGGAACTTTTCTGTCTTTTAACGGTTTATTTGGTCATGTTGATATACTATGAAAGGCAACGTGAGAAGTCCTTATCAGTAGGAAATGATGTAAAACTCCTGAAAATGCAGGTAATCGTTCAAAAGTTATGCCCTCCTTCACATTTTCCAAAGCTTTGGGGTCTTTGTTGGGCCAATTCTGGCCCCTGGGCCTCAAGTTTGACACCACTGCTCTAAAAGAAGACAAAGGAGCTAAAACCGCCTGGGCTGCGCCGAAGAGCAGTGCGCTATGAATCACACAAAATTACTCTAACAGAGTCTAAGAATGTAAAATGTGGAGTTGAAAATGAGTGTAATAAGTTCCCCATAAATTAACAGAAATATTAACTGACCCCTGTTGGTCGACACAACATTGGACTGAATCTATCCAAGCTGTCTCTGGAGTATAACAGGAACTGCACATGAAGGCTTTTAATGTGCTGAAAAGCTTTGAGAGCTGACAGGCTTCAGCGCCGTCTTGCAGGTAGTGGTGCACAGCTACTAATTTTCCATACTACAGTAATGACTCTAATAATCGTGATGAAGGTCTTTAATGATTTGTGTACACTGGATTACAAGCGGGGCTCAAACAAGGACATGCATGTTAAATTATATTGAAACTGTACCTGCACTTACACCATGGCAGACACAATCTGCGTCTATCCAAGCAAAGCACATTCCTGTTTTTAAAGGGCTGTTTTTTGGGGAGGGTGGTGGCGGGGGGGGGGGACTGCAGTTGTTTTTGTAGACTATGCCAGTGGCCTGCACACAGACTAAACTTTCAACAGTGACAAGAGACCCCTTTTTGGCAAAGGGCTGAAAGTTTAAATAAATAGATCCAAGGTTGTGTCTGAGCGTGCTGGGCGTTTACAGCTCCGGCAACCCAGCTGCTCTCCCCACCTGTGAAAACTGCGATCAGATACCAATATCGGCCAAACTAAAGAAAGATGTGGCACCACAGCACAAATAGAAAAAGCGGTGGACTGTATCAGCAGCTGTGCCAGTTTCAGCTGAGCTGTGCAGACATCCAGACCGAGGCTGTTACACAACAGCTTGGACTGCACAGTTGCTTGGAGATCAAAGAAAAAAGGAAAATATATATTTCTGAATGTCTCCACTTTGCAGATTTCCTGCAGATGACCTTTTTATTTACTTTTTTCTCCTAACACAACTACAGAGCTGTCATGCAGTAAA